ACGGCCTTTCTTAATGCTTTACTATCTTTTATGTATAATTCGTTTCCATATACAGTTTTACTCTCTCAAAATTGAATCTATCAACCCGTAGTCTATAAAAAAAATTGATCCATTATATTAGCTGGTTCGGATCATGTTTGTGTAATACGTCAATTATCCATGCTCATGTGACTAGTGGGTTTAATAATGGTCTTTTTTGAGGGTAGAGTGTATTATATATTTTTAGAATTCTCAATAATCGCGTGATATTCATTCTTTTCCTCTCGTGATTTGTCAGCAAAACTAAGCTGGACTTTTCCGTCCCCCTCCTTTTAATCCTAATTTTTTTTTTTATCTGGTTTTTTTTTCTTTTTTTTTTCCTTTTTTTTTTTTTTTTTTTTTTTTTTTTTTTTTTATGGGATCGAAAGTTATATTTCTTTTTCCAAACAAGTTAAAGTTAATAAATGGCCTCAAATTTTATGTCTTTATTCATATTCGGACATCATCAACATGGATAAAAAAAATATGTACCAAAATGCGTAAAATATGAAATAAATATAATACAATTATGTAACTATATTAAACGTCAATTGAATTTATACCTTATTACACCCTGTAACTAATCGCAACGGCATAATCAGTCTATGGTCACAAATAAAATCAATTAAAACATTACTAATCTGTAAATTGCTTCTTGATTTCTATTAAGACAATAATGTAAAGTTGATTAATCATTTATTATTAAAACTGGTATTGTATAGAAAAAAAAGTACATTACCAGAAATAATGTCCAAATAAGCTTTACAAGCTGGTGAATCCGGGTATTCATCAAGAAATGATATACCCGTATCGCATGCTTTTCCTAGAAAATTATATGGTATTGAGTAAATAATTTTAATAATTCAAATATTTTTTTAAATATTTTTTCATGCTCACCGATTCTAGGATCCAAAGGAATTGATCCCAAATATTTAACATTCAGATCTTCTGCCATTTTTTTTGCCCCACCTGTTGTTGGTGCAAAAATAATCGATTCACCCTATATACATGAAAAAAAAATATGTACGTAACTCAAAAAAAAAAAAAAAAAAAAAACACCCAAATAAATACCTTACAATTCGGACAGATAAATCCACTCATATTTTCAACAACGCCTAAAATTGGTATTTTTACTTTTCTACAAAAATCAATTTCTTTTCTAACATCCTGCAATGCTACTTCTTGTGGTGTTGTAATTATAATTGCTCCATCTATTTCGCTTTCTTTAAGATATTGTGCAATTGATAAATGTTCATCGGATGTACCAGGTGGTGTATCAATCAACATAAAGTCTAAATCTCCCCAATCTACATCTTTTAAAAATTGTTTGATTATCCCTTAATAAGAAAAATAATTACCTTCATATTAACATTACAATATTGTAAGATTAATCAAACTTTTTACTATAGAATGCCATCCTACGATAATCTTGTCGGACGACTTTTTATATATCTCAAGAATAATTCATAATACCATTTTTCTTTGGTCCACGCCAAATAACTGCTTCATCAGGGTCAGATAGCATAAATCCTATCGACATAACTCCTAAATTATCTTGTACATAAACCGGTGACCACCCAGATAAACTTTGATGAACTTGTTCTCCCTCCAATCCCATGATTTTTGGAATTGATGGCCCACATACATCAATATCCATTACCCCAATCTTTAATTATAAATTTATGTTAATATGGTCGTTTAAATGTTTTTTAAATTATTTAATAATCTTACCTGAATATTTTCTTCACTAGCAAAAGCAAATCCAAGTTGTGCTGTAAAAGTACTTTTACCAACCCCTCCTTTACCAGATAATACAAGTATTTTATGTTTAACCGAGTTCATTCTCTCTTTAATAAATTGTAAGGCTAAAAAATATATGTACATTTTTGTTCCTTAAAACTGCACTAATTAACCATATTAAATAATAAGGATTTGATCCGATCGATACCTGGATCGGGTCCTTTCGGTGCTGTAGCGCATATCTTCTGATTAGGGCAGCCTTCGCATGCTGAGGCTTTTCCCGCCTGTTCGGTACTTGGCCCCTATTGTAAAAAGCAATTTAGTATTATTTCAAAACTAAATATTTGCTTTGAACCTCTCCTAATTACCGGACAGTGTTCTGGTGCATTTTCGGGTTTATCAATAACTGCCATAATTTAGCTAGTGCTAATTTTTTTGAAAAACGAATGTTTAAAAAAAAAAAACCACCTAAATTTCTGTATACTCACGTGATATTCGCGTGATATTGTGTGTTGCGATTGGCTGATCACAGATCGCATTTATATACTGAAAAGATTGAAAATTTTAAAAAGTTAATTCCGGCCAAAAATTATGTAAATATGTAATGCGGGCCAAAATTTTGTAGATCACGGACGTTAGCCAATCAAATCGAGAATCTGCTGTGACAAAATTGGTGGTAGCTTAGTCTTTATGAATTCTATATAAATATATTCTGATTCTAGGATAACTTTGATTATTAGGTTAACTTACTTGCTATATGAGTGCCGCCAAGGGAAAACCTGTCATCGGACTTTCAATTATATTTTGTGTACAACGCACCTAGTATCGCCACCAAAATCAGGAACGTAATCGCTTTTTAAATTTCAATCTGCGCACAAGAATAACAGAATCACGGGATCACGAGATTTTTGAAAAAATAATCGAAGTTTTTTTTATATTTATTTATTCGACTTATTGGAATTTATTTAATAATCGCTACAAATTCTAAGTTAAATTGCATTCAATTCGAACGTATAAAATGCATTTACATCCAAATTCGAATTTTATTTAATACATGTATAAAGCTTTAATTTTGAATTTAATGCTACC